TTCGACCTGACTGCCTTCCGAGCATTCAAATTTCATGGCGAGTTGAAATTCACAAGCATCTTTCACAAGGTTCAAAACGGCAATGAGATAAATTGCTTTCATCCTTTTTCTTCTCAGGTCGCAGTCTGAGTCGGATGACGGCCTGGTCGAACCAGGTCTATTCACCTGTTCTATTATTGGTTGCAATTACTTTTTTTTAGTGTCACGGAATTAAAATGAAGAACTTTCCAGGGTGGGAGGACTTGAGGATCTTCTGCCTGGTTTTGACGCAACCGAAGCGGAAGATGTCTCATGCTATTCCCATCAAGAAAACCTGGGGAAGGAAATGCAACCAGCTACTCTTCGTCAGCACGAAAGAAGGTTTCCTAATCGATCACATTCAGTCTACCATAGACATTGGTTTTTAACTCCCATTCGTCCAAAATAATTCTGGGTGAACCAAAAAAGTGCACATGCATGTGTATGAGGAAAGAAACACTAAAGGCAACTGAACTAAATGAAAAAAACTGGCCTTCAAGGGCAGCTTTTTAACGTACCAGAAATCTCATGTGCATGAACCATTTCAAGTTTCAAGTCGATTTTCTGATGAAATTATTAAATATCATCATGTGCAGCTTTCCTCCCTATGTTTCCAATCATTCGCAGTCACCATATTATGCCATTCATCTTCTCTTCTGACTGCAGGATTTCTCATGCCTGATGGCTTTCCATATCCATGCATCCATCCATCCATACTACATTTGAATACACTAAGACGATTCATGGTAGGTGCAGCCTCTGGCCTGCACACTTTTGTTCCCTTTCAAGTACATAGGCTGGGTAGCCCCTAGGCCTACATGCCTTTTCTTTTCCGGATCATAGGCTTGGTAGCTGATAAGCCTACGAGCCTTTTCCTTTCCATGTTATGGGCAAGGCGCGTTTCGTGATTCCTCCATGCGACTGATTTTGCTTTCAAGCCTGTGCCTTTGCAGGACCTAAGTTGGTTGGGTGTGCTAAACAGCTTAACAATATGTGATGTGATGCGCCCGCATAAGAGAAGCGGCGAGGCTGCGTAGGTCTGCACTGACCAATGAGTAAATTGAAGATGTCAATGATGAGAGGACAGGTGCATTAATTGCAGAGCAACATCAGGCTGTTAACGCTGCGTGGTGAGCAGCGCGTGTACGCGGCGAATCTTTAACCCTACTCGAGTTGCGTTGGTTAGGGCGTTCAACGTCATTCCAGCCGTTTCACATAATCGCAAGCCTATGCATGTTGAAAACTTTGTTGGCACTGACTGGCAATTCATTTCGAAGCTGAGGAAGGTAAAAATCGGCTAGGTTGTTGTCATGATCATGTTACAGTGTTCCATTCGAACCCATTGGAGTTTCCACTGATGGGGAAGATGAAAACGCCCGCAATTTTCGTGAGTTTCATGTACAACAGCACAAACGCGTCCGCTTCCTTTCTGTGCAACAATTGTTCACATTATCGATAATGTTCCTTACTGTCTCTAAAAATCCGGTGAAGTCTACTGGGCGATCCATATGAGCTCATCGTGGGTTTACCAGGCGATTATATTGCAGATAATAAGGCGAACGAGCTGTTTGGGTACGACATGGGTTCTGCGATGCTGAAGTGAGAAGCAAACTCTCTCATTCTGTGTCTCAGGAATAAGCACTCCAGTTTTGGTCAATGAGGACGTGTCTTTCCGATTGGAAGGCGAATTGTGCTCACAGCACAGTACCAAAATTGTGAAGAAAGATTATGGTGGTGGTGACACCGATCAGCAGGCCACCTTTTCGTTTGAATTCTTCAACAATCCCAATACTTAGGGTCTCTTCCCGCACGCCCTAATCCTAAAAATTGGATATAACGTGATGGGTGTACGGAACCGCATGATTGGGAACAACCTTTGCAATGATACTCCTATGATCGTGAGAGACCTGACTGCAAATGTCTTAATACTATGAGAGTTTAGATGCAAAAAGGGCAATGGCTCAGTTACGCTTAGTCTAAGAGAGGGGACTAAAAGTCTCCATTTCATTCGAACACCCACAGTAGTTGTGGTTATCACGGGTGCGCTTCATGGCTGTGTTCACTTGCTGCCTAGAGTTTTACTGGACACATCAACCCAAGTCACCATACCGTTCCCTCTTTGCCAACGTCAATTCCCTATCGAGGTTACCTATGGTATGACTATAATAAAATTTCAGGGAGAGACATTTGGTCAAGTCTGATTACTACTTCCAGAGCCAGTATCCATGCATGGCATTTGTACGTTGCCTGCTCGAGAGTTCGGTCAGAGTATTCGTAGAAGATTCAGGTGAACGATGGACCAAAGCAGGGGGAACTGATGCTGGCACCCTTACCGACGATGTGGTCCTTAAAGAAGCACTTCTTTTGTTTGTCAAGTCCGTTCGTCGGGACTATTTTTGTACATCATGATATGAACTTTCCGCTTCGTTCCCACGTGTGTCCCGTTTCTTGATATTTCATGGTTCCTTCCATTTTTTTATATACTTTATTCATGTTGAACTAATTTTGGTTGTAATTTTCGCATAGTGGCAGATGTAACACGCTGTGCCTCGGCATATCTTTCATGCATATATGCTCCATCATGAACTGTATGTCAAAGTTTGCCAGCGGGAACCAGGCTGATACTATTCTTAGTTCATAAGCTGTGACAAAAACGTATTTTTACGGGTAGAAGGCCGCAATTGTGGCCATAGGCCGCTAGTCAAGGTGTATTCCTTCATGCATTTTCCGCCTCTTGTCCACCAGACGAAGAATTGCCTTCAATCGGAGTGACTGCAAAAGGGGAAAGTCGGGAAATCCTGTGGCAGAAATCCCGAGAAGCTTGGCAGTACATCCACGACCACCATCGAGATGGTTTCGACTGGTATATCCGGACTGATGACGATGCGTGCGTTAAGTGACTGCAAAAGGGGAAAGTCGGGAAATCCTGTGGCAGAAATCCCGAGAAGCTTGGCAGTACATCCACGACCACCATCGAGACGGTTTCGACTGGTATATCCGGACTGATGACGATGCGTGCGTTCCTCTAGCTGCTTCTTCTTTGCACCCGATAAAAGAGGGTCGAAAAAGGATGACGCTTGCATGGAACATGCAGGTACGTGGTGATGGAGAATCTGAGGTACTTCCTGGCCTCCAAGAAAAAAGAGGATCTCATCGCCTACGGATATAAATTTAAGAGGAAAGGCTCTGGCGCGTATTTTTCTGGAGGACCCGGTAAGAATCCAACCATACAGTCTGCCTGGAACTCACAGAGAAATCGCATTGATTTAAGGAACGTTTTGGTAATGTTGAAGTCTACTCAGTCCAACATTAACTTCAATTTTGATTAATGGTTTTTCTTGAAGTCATCCGTTCGGCAAATCTCTAATTCTTGTATATGGCATTTTAACTTTGAAGTTGTCCGTTTCATTTCTGCTGTTCTTTGATGGCAAATCAGCGTGTCATCCCGGAAATAATATTCAGTTTCAGCTTCCCGAAAGTTATTTCTCATTATTGGAAGGTTTATATGAGCTGTGAGGTATATATGTGACTGTAAAGCAGGGAGAAGGAGACATTGCAGACGTTGCCTGAGTGTTGCACGCGACGATCTCCAAGTTCGTGAGTCATTCTGTATCTATGGGGTGACTCAGGAACAATATATTTTAGTAAGATCTTTTTGCTTGACGCACACGCAATACACTGATGTGCCTGTAATGGATTAGAGAAGTAGGAAATGGGGAAAATGGCTGTTGTCGGCTTCCCATTTACTCCGACGAATGGGCTTCCCCAAATACAAAGCATTGCTATAATGATGAACAAGGATCTCTTGCCAATGTCCAAGGCTGGTTAAAGATAAACTTCGTTTATTCACAGAATTGTATGCACATGAAATATTCGACGAAATTCTCATTAGAATATATCATTTTCCTGACCGATATAAGTTAGACACGTCTGCACCTACTGAGACACTAACTGACACTGAGAAAATGAAAAATGAATGAAGATTGCAAAGGTTCCTCAGTTTATAAAACATCATGATACCCTATTGACCGACAGGTTACGTGATGACTCGTCCAGCGATGATCCAGATGGTGACTCAAGCGCTACCCATGAAAAATAACAGCTGTCTTCCCTCGGGTGGTCAATTTGAGGACTGGAAAATGGGTAAAGTTCATGTGTCTTCAATCTCAAAAGTTGAGAGTATTTTTTTTACGTAGCTTCAAAGCTTTTAGTTGCCAACTCTATATCTAATGCTTCCCACATGAGACTGAAAAATAATACCCAAATATCGATATATATTAATCCCTTAATTATGGTATTTACCTGACAGCTTCCAAATATATGTCTTAATTTATTTATTTCTCTTGAGTTTCTCCCACCTGTCACCTTGCATTTGACGTGCACCTATCGAAATGTCGCTATCGGGAAAAGACATTATTATCTGTCTCTGGCATGGACAATAATAAAATAAATCTAAATATCGTGCAAATATAGCTGAGTTGAAAACAAAGACCCATATAAGGATCTGTTGCGGGTAATGGTTCTATGAAAAGAGGGTGGAGAGTAAAGAGAAAAAAAAATGTTGTACCAATAAAATTCAGTTTCTTGAGTAATCTGATGCATTTTGTTATCTTTAACATCAATCGACGTGTCACAAAGGCTCACCGCAAAAAATGTGGCAGCGGTATCTTTCGAAATCATTGACAATAGGTTTTCTTTTCAATATTCAGGGTGAGGCAAAAGTCCTGCCCGCCTTTTTGATTGTTAATAACTTCTGAACGCTAGATTTAATCGAAATGCAGTTTTCACCATTCGAAAGACAAGAAAATTCAGTGTAAAACGAAGGCTCGTTGCATTATTTCTCCGATGGTATTCTTTGGATACGAAGTTCCTATTCTGGGTGGTCATATGATTGCATTATCATATAAAAACTACGTGCAGCGCTGCGTCTGCTTTTCAGTTCGACTGTCAGAGGGTGTCCTGATCGAGGATGGTCAGCTACGATGCCTGTCCTGTCAACGTTTGTGTTGATATTGGCGATAACTTGCGACTGATGGTTTCTCCAATGACTTTATTGCTGAATTGTCGAGAGGAATCAGTAGAATTCGGAATAGTGCCTAACTTTTGCAGCCCACTTGTTAATGGTCAATCTTTTATCAGCAATTTTCCTGAATTCTCAACAAGTTGACATTGTTCGCAGCAGGCCAAAGTAACTCTGGCAGTCGAACAGACAATTAGACGCGGTGTCGCAGGCGTGTTTTTATATGTCAATGCCTTTGGATAGAATACCCAGAATAGGAATTTCATTTCCGAAGGATATCAACTGCAAAATAGTGCAAAGATCCTTCATTCGAGACAGAATTGTCTAGTCCTTCGAATTGTGAAAACCGCATTTAAATCAGATCTAGCATTGAAAAATTATTCACTTACAAAAGGTGGGCATGACATTTGACTCACCCTGTACCTCGCATTTTCAAAATGAATTGTTGAAGCCATGAAAACTTCGAGAATTTCGAATGAAGGAAAGTTATGTAGAATCTGTGAAAGCAAAACAAGTAACGAGAGAAAATCATTGCAAATGCAACAGGTCAATGTCTGGAGAACGTGGGGGTCACCCTTGGAGACGACCGAGACGTTGAAGGCCGCTCCCGCTTTTTCCCATTGAATGTTGGCGGTCATATCATGTTCGGTGCCAATCCACCGATCGGTCCCTGGTCGAATCTCACCTGGTTCGAGAAGATTACGTTCTATCCGCCCAGGCTGGGATTCCAATGCTGTTCCCCAAGCGGCATATCCACTCACTATGCCAACGGATACCAGATGTATTTACTCGAGTATGCCATCTATCATCTCCGGATCTACCGCATGGATTAGGCAGATCCCTCATATTTTGACTTGAAAAATATAATGTGGCCAGCGTTTTTCATATTTTATCTCAGAGTAAGCACTTCTGGAAAAAATTTCCAAAAAAATAATGGTTAGAAATGTGTTTAAGAACTAAACAGAATTAAGAGCAAGAATAAAATTTTGCATTTTAGCGTTATTTTCAATGTTGAAGCATTTCTGATCTGATGGAGCAAGATGACTCATGAAGACTCATTTGGCACTTTTATTGACTACCAGTGCGTGAGACCCCAAAAAATTAATTGACTTCTATCGTGTTTAGTGTGAAAGCTGTTTCCAGAGTTTTATATTATGGTTTGCCAAATACTGTATATGGAGCTTGCCTTGAATTTCAGTACTTAAAAATGCAACAGAACACACCTGACGCCGAGGCACCAACTTCGTGGACTCGAATGTCGCAATGAGATTAATCGAGTTAAATTCCTGCTTTTGGTAAGCACACTTATGGCACACTTTGACCTCAAGCTTTCGCGACTGAGTGATGCGCAGGTATGAAATCTAAAAGGAAAACAGTTCCTCCCCCTCACAAATGTGAAACGCATGGTTGACATAGAAATGTGTCTGAACACTGCGCTCCTGTGTTCAACGCACCCACTCTATGAACCTGCCGGCAACAGAAAATCTGAACAGTTCGTTCTCTTTAAGCATAGGCGGCAACGGGAGAAGCGTCAGGATGACGATGCTAAAGATATTGAATTGATTCACTTGGGCTTGCGAGTGCAGGAGAGATGCAAGTGAGTACGAAGCCTTGTGCAATGAATTGCAAATTGGTTCCCAACTGCCGCGATGACAAACGAAAATTGTCCTTTCATTTAAGAATCTCTTTCCTTTCTCTAACCTTCAATATCTTTCAACTGATTACCAGATTTATTCAAAAGCATTCCCAGAATTCACCATTCAGTCTTCGGTTTTTAAGTCTTTCCAGACCAGAATGCATGAGGTATTCATCCTCATGAAATCATCCATCTGGCTTATTTCCAGTTTGTGGACATCCATGGACCTAGCTTTCCAATATCATTGGAAAAATTAAGGAATTAAGGGGTGCTAGGTCTAAAATCAAGCGAAAATATTCAAGTTCACTCATGCCGATGGGTATGCATAACTAGCTGCCTGATGGGCGGAAATGTGAAAATCATCCATCCCTACAACGGATCCCTGAAATACATGGTAAGTCTGGGCCAAGCATTTCAATGTAGTTATTTAATCAGTATAAAGATGGCGCCAGTGCATTTTCATCTCAGATTGATCGCAGCAGGATCAAATGTCAACATTTTTACAACATGAAGGGAAATTATAACAAACGATTTCAAGGGCTTTCGAATGGTGTGTCAGGCTATAAATTGCATACAAAATTAATATGAAAGGCCATCCTTGTCAGGTAAAAGGTCAACACTAAAAAAAAAATCGAAAATGAGTTAGACCATCTGCAGGAAATTACAAATCAAATGATGTATTAATGGTGGAAATTGATTGCGAAACCTAGGAGGAGTTCACTGGACAAAATCTGGTCACAGACATCCGCCGGTCGTTATGTATAGATATATAGAATATTTATATGGTGGCTGACAGGCATGTGCAAAATATGGAGCATTTGAGGAAATAAATTTTCGGCGGGAATTTTGTGAAATGGCAAGAAACGCAAAGCTGTCCACAAATAGGCGTCCGTTCACAAACGGGTGCCTCTACTCAATCCTGATTTGCTTTGAGTAACATGTAGGATTTTCTGCCTTACCGTTGAGGATTGAGTTGACGCTTGTTGAGATGTAGGCATAGTAAAAACTGATGAAGTCTAATTTCTGGTTCTGCGATCTCGGGTTCTTTTTTCTGTCGTAGACAAATGTCCTTAAACTGATCAATCGAACGGAAGATTAATTGTTGAAGCTTTTTTCGATTAGGCATGATATTGCGAATGGAAATCCTGGATCTGTTGGAACCTGTTGGAGAGGTGTTACAGGACAATGAGCCTGATTCCAGTTGGGGCTGGATTGAAGGCGACTCAATCCAAATGCGATACAGCTTCAACGGAAGGGATTAAAAAATATTCTGTTAAAAAAGAGTCAAAATTCTAACTTAAAATAATCGGACTAAAAATCCGACTAATTTTGCCCGTGATGGATGCAAGGAAGACGGGCATTGCGGTATGCGCTGAATTCCATTGTAGGTATACCGTGGCTCAATACCGCGGTATACCGATGGTACCGCCGAGAAGGGGGGGGGGGGGGGGTTTGTGGGGAGGCCAACTGCCTCAGTTACGATCTCCCAGAAAAAGCCCCACGAAGAGGGGGAATCTTTCTCTTTCTATTGTGATGGCATCGAGCTGGTCTTGCATCCGCATTTATGTCATTCGATTGAATGGCAAGAGTAATGGCAGGCCCCGGCTTGCCTGGGCCTGGCCTTACTCCCACATCCTCGGAAGACTTGGCGAAGATATTGAGTGCTTAGGCACACAGAGCCAAGGGCACAGTTAATGCGCAAGACGAACCCACAAATTACGAATCTTGGCCTTGGGGTCAGTACACTCCGAGACTTCCAGGAAGGCTTCGATTTTCCCCGGGTGGTGGGCGTTACTGTGGGCGGAGATGGGGAGGATAATTGACAACGTATTTTATTTTTAGAAATAGCTCTTCTCGTATGGCGCTGTGGCGGCGGTATGATGAGCAGCTGTGTTCCACGGTTTCCATACCGTGGCGACAGTATGAGAGGCGGTATCCATACCGTAGTAACGGTCTGAACATGGACAGTATTCCACGGTTTTCATACTGTGGCGGTAATACCGAAAAATGTAGAAGGGGTCGTTAATGATTATCATGAGAACTTAATACTGAGGTGTGATGAAAATACCAGTATACCGCAACGCCCTACTTCCAAGTGGTTGTCCTTGGAAGATACGCCGAGCACACGATGGTAGCAGTTCCATATCGGGATTGGAAAGAGTAGTGCTGCTCTCCACCCTCTTCTTCTGACCCATTCCACGTATGTTTCTTCAAAGTAATCAGACACAGAATCCAGTTCCAGGGGGAAATAATCAGAAGATGTCAACTTAGTGAATCCCTCGATAACATCGCTAGATGGTAGAAGAGCTAGAGCAGGAAGCATTCTAGCCTATTGGGCGAATTCTGCACCTTGTGCATAACGTTGCCGCAGACCTTCACCTTCCGTCGCCAGGTACTCTGGCCAAAGTGAAAGAAACGTCCATGGACATATTAGGTAGTAAAGCATTTAAAAGAGGTATACACTTCCCTGACACCAGTGCATGAATAGTATATAATACTTGGTGTGTTTCATCGAAAGCAACTTTGAATGTTCCATCAGCAAACCAATTGGATTGAGAGGCCAACATTCGAACATCACTATCAGTTGCGAATACTTCGAGGACGTCAGGCTCAGAGAAATGCAGGAACGACTTTCCATTTATTGCTTCCATTTATTGCATCCCTCTCTCGCCCAACTATTTTTGCCAAAGTGGGTGCTGGATGCCCGAAGGAACTCCTTCGCAATCGGAAGTTTCTTCTCCACTACCGCGTTTCCGATTCGGGGGGAATGATGTGAAGGGGATCGGGAGAATGCTGTGATGGGGACTTTCCGTGCCTGTCGTCGGCCTGTCAAAGACTTCGTGACTGCTCCTGATTTTTTTTCTTTCGTCGAGCAGATTTTGAAGGAATTTAATTTTCATTTTTTTCACTATACGCGGTTTTCTTCCGTGAAAGGGGAAATTCCGTGCGGCTTTTATTCCTCGTATGGATTGTCGCAATCGTCTAGATCGGGAAGGCGGAAACCATTCCTTTTCCTTTGCGAAGTCCGGTTCAAAAGATGCGTGCTCGGATCCGAAAAGGTACGAGACTGAAGAATCCACTCGCACGACGTGGCTGTGACTTCCCGAAGTTCATTCAGAGCTGAGTTGAGTCAGAAACTGAAAGAAAGAGGCAAAGGAAGAAAAGGAGATTTCATTCACATTATTCGAGTTTCAGAGTTACAAGGTATTTTGTAGGTGGCTTGGACGTGCTCTGGAATTACTGTTAATCAGATCGCCAGCGTGTTCGAGGTTTAGGAGATTTGAGCACTTTCTAAACTTTGAGGTGTTCGAGTTGAAAGTTGTGTTTTTTCAATTCGCTTAGTAACTAATTCGTAAACAACATCTCAGCCCTAGCGAACTCTAATAAATTAACGTTCCGTTGAGCGCCATTTTGGTTCTACAGTATCATGACATCTTTAAGAAATCATTTTTCTGGAACCAAGCAAACATTATCTAAAACTGATTTATGGAGCTACCAGGATCTCACGACTCTGCCAAGGCAAATAATGTTATGATCTACGACAAGCACTCTATCTCTCCTAGGAACAAAAATAATGGAAAACGATTCTGGGAAGCACGAAACATTCACTTGTACCAGCCCATTCCTGAATATTTCAGGAACAATCGAGTGGTTCTTACACTTCGTCTTATCAAATAGTTTTGGAAGGAAGCAAGCATTTCAAATGTATGCTCCAGTACCGAAAGTCGGTTAGAAGTTCAACCTCTTAAAAGTTCTGGTCCGAACCGTTTAGAGTGTCGACAAGCATCTCTCTTATCCATTCGGAAGAAAAACTCTTTGTTTCCAGCGAAAGTATCCTCTTCCCGCTAGCCAAGAACTAGATTTGGGATGATGGAAGACGAGACGAAACAGTCCTTTCCGTATCGTGTCCCTCGATGGAGAGAGTGATGGAGAGGGCTTCTGAAGAATGGCTCCCATTGGAGTGTGGCTTGGACGGATGTACGCAGGCAGTTTCACGGATGTCTGAGACTCGAGGCGATCAAGCATCTCCCGAATCCTATTGACTCTGTATGCGGATGGAATGGACTCGGCCCAGTCTATCACAGAAATGTGGAAAGAACGGATGAAATCGCCTCCTCCGCCTCCCATTCCAGCATCCGAAATTCGTAATTCCGAGGACTCGATCAGAAGATGAGATATCCAGCTGACTTTTTGCTCATCGAATTAATTCCCAATGGCATCCAGTCAGTTAGCGGGACTGAGAGATTTGGCGGACTGGGCTGGGGGGTTCTGGTTAATATTCAAGCAATAATTCAGATGAATTTAGAGAAGCGCCGATTTTCTTGAGAAACCGACCAGGGTAGCAATGTGCATCTGACGTACGCACCAGGGCGCATGTACCGTAAACGTCGGATGTCGGACA